AGGTATTGCTTATCCAATGTTTTAAGACTCTTCCGATTGCTGAGTTAGTTGCATCCACTGTGATGCTGACCGGTGCTTCGGTCCGAGGTGCTCCAACACAGTTGACCTGTCAATAAGTTTGTTAATTCTGGAAAATGAATTATTAACAGTGTCGCTCAAGTTAACAGTTTTCGCGTTTCTATGTAGTTAGTTAGATAAAGGTTTCATGAAAGACGCACGAGTAGGTAAGAACGGTCGGGAAGTCCATTAAACGTGCGTGGTTATTTGACTGTGTTCAGTTCTGGATAATCCAGAATGACCGCCAACTTATTTTCTGATGAGCAAATGTCCTGAGCGTCAGTATTATGTCCGAGAAAGTTGATGGGATCTGCTCCAGTTTGAAATTTCTGTATTTTAAAAGCAATCTCCTGGTTTTGAAGTCGTTGAAAAAAACCGCAACCTACTGTGGATCCATTGACCAGACACCATCAGTAACAACTTACTGTGCAAGAGAACAAACCAGATTCCAGCTGAGGAAGAAACTAGGAAAAAGCGCTGCAGGTGGATTGAACACAGTAAGAAAAGCACCCAAATGCACCATCAGACAAGCCCTCACTCAGAATCCGCAAGGCTAAAGGAAAAGTGGAAGACTAAAGAATACTGTGGTGGTGTTTTGTTCTCTGAGCTGGTTGTTTTGATTGCGGAGCTTTCATTGTTCTTCTGAACGACATCATCAGCACAAACTTCAGATAGAAGTGAAGCATTCGAATTTCTCCACGTTTGACCTGTAGCTTGTTCTGCTAACCTCGATCTTGATTGGTTGCTGTTGTCATTGATCTGTCATTGTTTGCAACTTTGTTTTGATTATGCCGAGAAATGGAGGCAGACATGAGAAGAATGAACAGCGATTGGGTAGAACTGGAAATACAGGACCAAGATGGAGTAGGTTGGAGAATTCTGGTTGGCCGTTTATACTCTAATAGGAGATTACAGGCGTAAATAAGTAGGTCTTTGTGTAGTGAATACCTAATACAGCGGTACTGAAAAACTTGACCAGCTGTTTGGTTCGCTGGCTAGTGATCTCTTCCACATGCGGCAATTTTCCTGTGTTGCAGTTCGATGTTGGGGAAAAGTTGGTCTAATCCACGTCCATTGGTTGGGTCTCTAAGTTGAGGAATCGCCTGTTTTAGAGTGGTGTTAGGTTCAAAAACGTCACTAAACATACTAGGTGTTACATGTCTGTCCATGTCCCGCAGTAGTGTCTGTAATACAACAGAGAAATGAGCACGTGGGTCTGTCACATCATGCTCGTGGTAGTCTACCTCTGCACAACAAAACCAGGTCTCGATGTGGTCAGGCCAAAATGGCATGAGAGTTGTTCATTTCGAAGAAGTTACATCATAGATACGTTAATAGAATAACTAGTGAAAACACGATGACTGACCTTAGTTTGACACACACCCCCAATTCTATGCGGGATAAATGCCGTATCTTTGATTTCTATTAAAAAGCCCGTAATCTATGAGGAAACCTTATGACCTACTTCTTGGTTGTTGCGTTTCATCTGTCAAAATATATTAACGACTAATTGATGGAGATTAGTCAGAGGTAAGAACAAGATAACAAATCACCGATTATTGGTTAGTGTCAGAGTTCTTTTTAAGCAGTAATTCAGCTGAATGCTCGTAAAGGCGGTTTATTTAGTAATCTGATAATGTCTGCCTGTTACGCCTGCACGTAGACACGTCAACTCGATAAACTTGAATTATTACGAGTTTACCTTAGTCGTAAACGAGAGCGAGGATCGAGGATCCAGCGACACGACATGCTACTCAAATCCGATTATCCCAACCCCCATATTTAGTAAAAGAAGACAAGACTTGATATGAAGTAGAACACGTATTCTACAAGCATCCAGAATGTACGAGGTCCGAATCCAGAAGAGAATCAAGCCTTCAGACAAATTAGCCGACCCATCCTTCCCGAGTTACTATTCACTCGTCTTTTGACCTTGTAAATCATTCGCTCATATCTTGGTTGTTTTCGCTTGCGTGTGGCTCTTACTTCGTCTAGCTTATTTCTGACTATAAATGCTTAGTCTCACTGCTTTGAGTTGGCTCTCCGGCCTTATCCACTTCGATTTGAAGCTACATACTCTCCTGTGCGTCTGCATGAACAATTGCTTGAAATAAACTCCTCAAACCGAATCCGTAATTCGGCTTCTTATTACTGCCGTCACACAAACGGGGTTCGCCTAAGTATGCTATACGGCAACTGAAGGAGAGATTCACTTCACCAGATACTCGATCATTGGTAAATATCGGAGTAATTGTGGACCACTAAAGTGGTGAGGCCTACTTAGAGTTCAAAACGCAGACACTAAAATGATAAGCTCAACGTTGAATCCAAAGCAGCCATTAAGACAGACTGAAGCTCTCTAGTTGAAATACAACTATTGCTTCTAAATTTCCTTTGAAATCCTACCGCCATAATCACATTTGCGAAGTACTCTGTGTGAGGTCAAACGACCATAAGCTGCATACCATAGTGTTAAGTCATGAAGTATTAAGAATGAAAAGACCCCAGTTCACTAGTGAGATAGAGTAAAATTTCCGACCAGTTATTTTTATTATAGAGATTATGGAAACTACTCTATTACCTTGTTGAATGATGATAAGAATTGACCACAAATGTAAAGTATACACCTGGACTGAAAATCAAGATTCGAATAGTACACTTTTCACAAGAATTATGCAACACTTATATTTAACTGGTAACGATTTAAAATTCTTTTACTGTTGTCGAACTATTTTCCTTGTACGAGAATATTTGTTCGTTCTGACATTCTGCTTTGATTTTAAGAAGAATGGTCCGTTTTGAAAAACTTGTTACTTCATGAAAATGCTTGTTCAATGGTAATCAGTTCCCTAGATTGCAGATATCTATGTTATTACTTACTTACTTACGCCTGTTACCCCCGATGGAGCATAGGCCGCCCACCAGTTTTCTCCAACCAACTCTGTCCTGGGCTTCCCTTTCCAGTTCCGTCCAATGTTTGTTCATTCCTCTCATATCTTTCTCTATTTCTCGGCGTAGTGTGTTCCTTGGCCTTCCTCTTTTCCTTTTGCCTTGAGGGTTTCATGTGAGGGCTTGTCTCGTGACGCAGTTAGGTGCTTTTCGTAGTGTGTGTCCTATCCACTTCCACCGCTTCTTCCTCATTTCCTCCTCCACTGGAATCTGGTTTGTTTTCTCCCACAGTTCGTTGTTGCTGATGGTGTCTGGCCAATAAATCCGAAATATTTTGCGTAGACAACTGTTCATAAACACTTGTATCTATGTTATGCTAATCTCTAAAATATTACTAATCTTTATTGCTGTCATAGGCAGGACTATAATTTATGAACGAACCAATTATATATTTGAGATAGGAAGTCTTGAATTTTGGCGCGAAACTTGGATGAATAACAGTTTGGCATCATAGCTGATGTCAGCTTGTGATGAAAAACCCTCAAACTGGTATTAAATATATCAAAATAATTCAGAATGATTGCCCTAACTATGAAGGGGAATAAATGGACTGTTTATATAAACAGAGACATCTAAGTCTTTCTGCCTCGATTAAATTCAACTAATTATGAATTGTACACATTTCATACAGTCATTTAAACTATGTCTCGCACATAATCAGTTTATTTTAGAAATTTAAACTGACATTAACATGATCAAACCTATTTTGGTTGGACCAAATATTCTACCTCAGGTGTTGTACATTTACTTTGGTAATTTATTTATCAACTCGAAAGTGGCTTTATGCGCTAAGTAACGCGAAACATCAGCAATGGAAACTTTCTATTTATTGGGATATCAGCAATTTACTGTTGGGGACGTTAAATCCCCACTTGATAAAGGTCCTAATTTTGGATTTTACGCTTTCACACATGGACTGATCAGTTGACCTTGAGATTACATTCCACACCAGGAAAGTCCCTGACTGTCATTGGTTGATGTGTTATTTTAGTACGCGATTTTCTGGTTCTCCCAAGGACGTTTCTATTGTAGTGCCTCCACATAAACTTGAGTTCGCTCATATTTAATTTGATTAAGCCTTTCGATTAACTTATGTAACCAAGCTATTGGTATAGCAACAACCCATATGTACTATTGGTATTTTTTATTGTCTGGCTTGTATGAGCTTGTACGACTGAGCATTGCTTACGCCTACGCACTAACTCATCCTTTACGGTTTAATGTTAATCTCTTAATATCCCTATGATCTCACATGACTTGTCTGGCTTGCTTTTGACCTTGTCAATCATTCGTCGCTTTTATTAACGTGTACATGCCTATTTGGCTTGTCATGTCTGTCTTATTTTTGTCTGACTATATATTCTTAGTCATGCTCTATCTCTTGGAGTTGGCTCACTAGCCTTCTCCACATCGCTTCCTTCGCCCATTCATTCACATTGTAATCCAAAGAGTTGGCTCATTAGCCTTTTCCAATTCACGTCGTTTCGTTCGCTTTATTCGCTGCTTTTCAACTTCGCTTTGTGGTGTGTCCAAAAATAAACGTATTCAACACTACGAGTTGACCTTCTGATTTATAAACCGTCAGACGCTATTTAGTAACGATTGTCTGGATGAGCTAATTACCGAGCTTAAGAACACGCAGTAAATCGACACACTACACTATCATGTATAATTAAACTCAATTTGTGTGCTTGTAAACCTCATATCTTCTAGGTGCTTGTAGAATACACTTTCTACGCCTTATCAAGACTTCTTCCTCTACTTAGTGGGGCCTCGGGATGCTCGGATTAGAGTAGCCTATCGTGTCACTAGATCATTTGTCTTCGCTCTTGTTTACCGACTAAAATGAACTCGTAAATAGTTTCTCAAGCATATCATTTGACGAGCACAACATATATCCTTATGTAATACTTAACTTTCCGACTAATGCTCAATAAATATCACGTCATACCGTCGTAATATTGATTCCAACAGACAAGAAGAGTCAAATAATTAAATGATTGAGCTTCTGATAGGATCGAATTTGTTGGCGACTTGTCATACAACAACAACAACACATTATAATAAGTTAAAGAAATGTCATAATGTTGTATAAAGAACAGTGATAAAAAAAAAGAAAAGAATTAAACTATCGATATGACATGATGGACAATGAAGTCAATACACAAAAATATTAGGCAGCTTTTTTATGAAAATAAAAAATAATAAATAAATCAGAAAATTAATTAATTAACAGTTTTATTCAATCAAATAGGAATTAACCCATTCAAAGTTAGAATTTTGGAGATTTTGTTTTTGTTGTTGTTGTTAACAGATGTGTTTTGATTGATCGTTTGTCGTCATCATCACCATAATGTTGATATTTTGTAGACTTGATTAATTAGGTGTTTTAGATAGATGAATTGGAGTGTATAATGTCACTGAAGCTATACATTCACTACTTGGAATAATCTACATGTATATATATATGAGTGTGTGTGTGTGGTGAGAAAAAATAAATAAATTTACAAAATGACAATTGGTTAGTGAATGAATCATAAACTAATTATTCTAAATTACAAGTCAATGAAATCGAACTTGAACTATTACACTGTGCGTAATATGATAACTAGTGTTGTAGTGAACGAGAACACAGGTGGGGCAACCGAATTGTATTTAACGATAATTACAGAGTTACTCAGTAAAATTGGAAAACCATATCGTAAATCGTTAATTTGCAAAATATCAGTTCATCATATCGAACTGGACTGTTCCTGTTGCAAAACATCAATCTATTGTCACTATTCATGCGTTTCATACAAATTCCATTGTGTTCTTCTAACTCTTCCTTTCTTGATCTTCCCCCCATCTTCTGCTGCCAGACATTACGTTGACACTCACGTTATATACTACTTATAAGTAGCTCGCACCACAGTGTTAGTACTTGTCACTCCATATCCAAATCGATGGAGTTTGAACAATTATTTAAACATATAAACACTGATAAAAAGGGGGAACTTAAGAGGTATTAATGTGCCACAAAAATTATTGATTTTGTAAGTAGGCATTGTGAGAGAGCACTTTGGCAGAATGAACTCTCCCTACCTCTCGGACGTACTTGGGGGGGGGGGAGTTAGAGGCGACCAAAACCAGAACGCGATATTATAATCCATGACATAATTAGTTGTCGTTCTGTGCCATGTTAGGAGATGAAGATTACATGTTTAAAACACACATAGTAGTAAACGCGCGATCAATGGTTAGAGATATTGGAAGACAGTTTAGAAATGGCCACAATAATAATACCGACGAATTTCTTCTTTATCATACACCAGATCTCGAGTTTCAATATTCTTTCATACATACCTTTGGATTTTAACTATTCGTAGAGTCATATTTTCCATCTTTCTTATTAAAATTACTTACGCGCCCGTTACCCCTAATACAGTATAGATAGCGCGGACCAACTCACTGAAATTGCCACTATATTATTTCGATTTCGTTACTATTTAAAAAAATTCATTGTCGGGCTAACGTGGTATGAAAACTTGTGGCAATGAACATAGCTATGCTAGGCTCTACATTGACTGCACCTGACTAATTGACTATTATTCAAGATGTATTAATTTGGTTTCCGTCTCATAACGTGATAATCCATTTCAATGCTATAAACTTGCGGATTGCACTCAGCGCCTGTACTATATTACCTTGAGAGCAATGGATTGACTTTAGTTTCACCTATGCGAAAAACAAAGTAGAATACCCTACGAATGGATAGCTCAGGATAAGAAGTGAACAATCAATTACACTACATATGGTTTGCTCTCTCCCACAGTAGACTGTTATTGATGGTGTCTGGTCAACGGATTCGCAGTATCTTGCATAAACAACTTTTAATAAACACCTGTATCTTGTAGATGATGACTTTCATGGTTCCCCAAGTCTCCGTTCCATACAATAGAACTGTCTTGTTGTTTGTACTTAAAATTCCGACTTTAATGTTCGTTGATAGTTGTTATGAGTTTCAGATGTTCTTCATTTGTAGAAATGATATCCTTGCTTTGCCAATCCTTGCCTTCACATCAGCATCATATCCACCTTGTTTATCAATAGCGCTGCCCGGATATGTACGGCTTTCTACATCTTTTAAAGCTTCGCCCTCAAATGTGATTAGGTTGGTGCATTTTGTGTCGTACCGGATGATTTCGCTTTTTCCTTTGTGTATGTTGAGAACTACTGCTGCAGAGGGTGCTGCTACACTGACCGTCTTTATCTGTATTTGTTGCTGTATGTGGGGATAGGAAATATAGATCATCTACGTAGTCCAAACCGACTAGTTACATGAGGAGCAGTTCCACTATATCCCTTGCTTCCCCCCTGAGGTGTTGAGGTTTTCATAATCCAATCAATCACCATAAGAACAAGAAAGAGTAAGGGTAAGCAAGTTTGTCTGACATCGGTCTTTATTTAGAATGCATCCGTGAGCTCACCTCCATGCAAGATTTTGCAAGGCAATTAGTCCGTCGTTCCAGACCCCATATCGGAGGTAAAATCCCGGAAAATATAAATCAGTGAAATAAAAACAAAAGAATTACGCGTAATTCTTTGTAGTGCATGACATGAAGAAACATGCGTTTACTAAGATTTTATTAAATAGGTCTCTATTTTTTTACACAATCTCTTTTGTTAATGTTACCAAGAAAAATATAGAACAAAAAGAATATTATTACGTTTACAAATAACTATTTGATCATCTTGGTACGAGTAGTGCTTTCTATAAATAAAGAAATACCAAACTGTACACTGAAACTTACCTCAAATATAATATCTTGGTAACCATATGCATGTGTCGGACCAAATGGATTTTGTTGCGGTTTTGATTCTCGATAAATAACCACTGGTTCAGTGTCTATTGATGAATTTAAATGTTGTCGGACATCTGACCACTTTTGTTTTATTTGAATATTATTGAGTATGGCATGGAAGAGAAGTAACAATGTAGGTTTGAGGTCAATTTTCAATCAACTATAAACATTAATTTTTAGAAGTTTATATTTTAAGCAACAAAAGTATTTATCTGATGTAAATAACTAATTTTGGAGGAGTCATCGCCAAGGTTCAACTTGATGAATTCAAATAAATTAGGCATTGGATGGATTTTTCTATAATAAAAAAATAAAGTTTTTCAAACTTTTCTCAGTCAGTCAGTCAGCAACCACATAGAATTTCGTACGTACGTACGTACATTCGTTCAACTTGTCATACCATGTAAGAACACACAGAGATAGTGTGGTGTGAGCTACTTATAAGTAGTATATATATATATATGTTTTGAAAGACTACGACGACAGCTTATTAAAAGGGGGGACGAGTGTGGTGTGAGCTACTTATAAGTAGTATGTGACGTGTGTCAACGTAATGTAAGGTGTTCCTATTTTACTGAGTAACTCTGTAATTCTCATTCACTTCATTTGGTGTCGCTGCCTGCTCGAAGGAAGGAGCTCCCGTGGCCGAAGGAGTTGGAGGACGGGGATTTGCGGAGCTTCCTGGAGGTTTGAGGCCACGGTGGAGCTGGTGGGGCCCGGGGCGGAGTTGGCGGTGCTGGGGACGCTGCGGGGAGGTGAGGCGAAGGGGGTATACGACAGTCTGGACGGTGCCGCCTGGAAGACGGTCATCGGGCGGCTGATGACGGAGTTCGACAGCCCGGTGGACAGGGAGGAGGCGCCGCAGATGTTCCGGTTGGCTGTCGGTGACCCGTTGGTGCTGCCTGTGGAGCTCACGATGTTGCTGCGCCGTACGCTGCCGAGTATAGATGGGGAGTCAGGGGCACAGTTGTTGGCGTCGCAATTTATCGAGTGTGCCTGCCGCCGTATTCCAACAGCGGGAACTAGTAAAGGCTACATGTTGGATAGAGGCCGTACCCATTCCAGACCAGCGGGAAAGAACAAAGACCGAAGTGGTAATCCGGCATATTGTAGCGTGTCACGGAATACGGAAGGTGATATTACCTGACCAGGGTCCCTGTTTTGAAAGACTACGACGACAGCTTATTAAAAGGGGGGACGAGTGTGGTGTGAGCTACTTATAAGTAGTATATGACGTGAGTGTCAACGTAATGTATGGCAGCATAATATGGGGGAAGATCAAGAAAGGAAGAGTTAGAAAACAATGGAGTTTGTATGGAACGCATGAATATTGACAATAGATTGATGTTTTGCAACAGGAACAGTCCAGTTCGATAGGATGAACTGATATTTTGCAAATTAACGATTTACGATATGGTTTTCGAATTTTACTGAGTAACTCTGTAATTTTCGTTAAATACAATTCGGTTGCCCCACCTGTGTTCTCATTCACTACAATAGAATTGTTAATTCAAATCCCACATTGGTAGATGTAGTAGAAGATTGTGACCATGACCCTGAATTTTGAAATTATTTTGTACAGTTAATCATCTCAAGTCAAATGAAACCTAGTTGGAGTTAATAAATATAGAAGACAGAGTAGAGAAATTAATGTATATACATACAAAGAGCTAGTTCGGAGTAAAACATTGATCAATACGTCCTCAATGAGATGATAACGAATATTTGTACTTCAAGATGGGAGATTTTGTTCTGTAAGCAGGATGGTTTTTTTGACATCACATCAGCACACACACTTTGAAAAGTGGTTGGTTATTAGAATTTCTCCATAGCTGGTTCGTAGCTTATTTTACTGTCAGTAAACAACAACACAGAACTTCGTACGTACGTACATCAGTTTAGATGGCCATAGCGCACTAGCACAGAGGCGCAACTGTCAGTTCAAATTCGACAGAGGTGGAGATAGTCGAAGTACTAGCAGTAGTAGATAAGATTAGGGTTCTAAGATATTATTTAAGAAGTTTAGGATTTGACAGAAAACAAAGAATAAATGCACCTGCACCATTGCAAACGATTCTGAGCCATGTCGTTCAAGGTCTCTAACCGTCGGTTACTGTCATCTCGCCGACCCCAACCAGGTAGTCGACACCTACCGACATGACGTAGTCCACTAGTCAGTGACTTCGTGGATTTTTGTTTGGTCACCCCTAGCTTTCTTCCGACCTACTTCTGCACCACAAAACAGCTCATCGGGGCAGTCGGTGGTTAGGAATACACAACACATGTCCCAGCCACCTAAACTGAAGAAAGTTCCAATACTTCATATATTGATCTGTCATCCTTACTTAGCACCCGTTTCCTAACGACAGCACTGCTTACTCGGTTGTCCCACGATATACGAGCAATGCTTCGGAGACAACTATGATCGAAAACTAGTAACTTACGAATATCTTCAGAGTGTTGTGGGACAGGTACATCGCGAAATCGGTTATTCAGGAGAACGAACGATTGAATACGCTTTCCACTAACGGTTTTGGTGACCACCCAAACATGAGGATGTAATGGAATTTCGCAAGAACTGTAACACGTGTTGTTGTATAAAGTTGCTTCAGCAGACATCCCGTACACCTCTAATCCCGATGATGACAACAAAACCACACAAGTGAGTGGGCCTTAACATCATGGGGCTAATGACGATGAAAAAAGGAAATCACTACATATTAGTTATGGTGGATGATTTTACTAAATTTTGTGAAGCAATACCCATCCCGCAGCAAGACTCCCTCACGGTTGCCTGAGCTTTAATTGTTCATTAGGTTTCTTGTTACTGTGCCGCATTCTCACTTCACTACGACCAAGCCCCAGCCTTCCAAAGCCAACTCATCGCTCAAATATGCCGGCTATTGGGAATAAAAAAAACCACACTACTGCGTATCACCCAGAGGGTAACGGCCTCGCAGAAAGAACAAACAGAACTATTAGAGCCATCCTACAATCGTTCGTCAGCAGATCGTCGCCTGATTAGTGAGATGACGTACTGCCTTAGTGTCTTCTAGCTTGTCGTACATCGGTGCATAGCCTGTAAGAACAGGCTAACTTACTTTTCAGACACAAATCGTGCCTACCAGTGGAGATACATATGCCTTCGTTGCCTAGTGAAGCTCAAGAACATGTACCGTGTATACGTATTCTCCGTAACCGCCTGGCAGATGCATACCGCTTGGTCAACACCAACTCCCGCAAGGCCCCATTACATTGTTAGGAACCTGCAGTAAATTCCACGAGGTTGTCTTTATCTGATGCCCAAACACGTTTGTCTTACGTGATTTGCAACGAACCCAGGATGATGTGATAACCATGCATTACAACCAATTGAAACCAGATTGGAGGAAAATCCCTTCTGGTGCAATATGTAAAGAGCATTGAGAATAAAAAAATATTTTGTTTTTCAAGTTGTAGTATCAATTTTAGGAGATGGAGTGTAATGAATGTAAAGCCAAAAAAAACATGCTTTTTATTTTATCTAGTACTATAATTTTCTGTAATAGATAGATAGATAGATTGCAATATTTCCTAATAAAATTTACATATAAATCAATATACACAAAAAATAATGAATCTGCTCACTTTTGAAAATGGCGTTACTAAATATTTTGTTTCATTAAGTGAATTGTCTGTTTTCAATACTGTTTCATCATCAACTTCTATACTAGCGCTCTCTTTAAATGATTTTGCAAAAGTAATTGGTATTTCAAAAAGGCATCGATAATATCTATGAGAGTAAAGAAATTATATATATATATATATATATATATATATATATATAATCAAAACTACATTGTGTTCGTTTGTAAAAAAGAAAATGAAGCAAAAGATGATAAAGTCAGTTAGTCAGTTACAACGTAGAACTTCGTACACGTAAGTGCACCAGTTCAGATTGTCATATCGCATTAACACAGTTCAAACCCCACAGTGGTAGAGATAGTAGAAGTATTAGCGGTTATGGAGAACGTAGGCAGATACGACGAAGAGATAACGGTGAGTGTTCCTATATTTCTGATTCCTTACTGTCCCATTTAGTCCGACAGCGCACAAGTGACTATCTACTGGGATTCAGTCTAGGAGAGCTAGTTCTTCCCCTAGGACTCAATGCTATACCTACTCCAGAGAGACCTCGAACTGAATAAGCAAATTAAGAAGTGAGCATTCTTGCAAAGATTTTTAATGGCTAAACTAGGAAATTCTAAATTTGCAGCAATAGGAATCTTAAGGCTAAAATAACATTCATGTTATGAATTCGGCCTTTTAATGACTTGCAATGAATGGCCATTTATAAATTGTTAAATCAAAAAATAAAGCGTAACAATCAAACAATTAAATGAATACCACTAACAAGATTGAAGTATGCATGTAAGTCCTGCATTGAATTGACGTGGAAAAAAACAAGAGAACTGTTTAATAGAGTAAGTTTTTTCTAATCTAAAAGTACAGCACATTTTATATACAAAGTATTGAACACAAGAAATAAACGTAATTCAAAGTCCTTTAACAAAAAAATGATTGGAAGATATAGCAACTGTAGGATATTCATTCTCTAATCGATTTATGCCAAATCATTAGGTCTGATTCTTGTCTAGTTATATCACTTTAGAACTTGATACCCAAACAAGAATATCCTTAAATAGTTAACAAAGTTGGAAATGCTCAATGTTAAACATTTTTTGTCATTATTTAATGAAGGACAATAGTACGGCACATCTACGACCAGACAAGCGAGAATCAAATCCAGGAGATCCGGTCTCGCGCCCGAACACTTAGCCTCTTGACCATTGAGCCGGCATCTAACGGCGTCCAAGATATTGAGCGACCATCATCCACTGTCTTCGGTTGGTAACTGTCTCACACCCAACACGGTTTAGTGCCACTGGTCACGGCTGCTCACTACAGAAATTTCCTCTTGAAGCTAGAGCCACCAGTGAGCACATGATAACTGCTAGTACAGGGTTGTGGAGATCATTCAAAGTCATTGATATAATCGGATTCAAATAAGTACCAACACTAAACCCTACCTAGAGCAATCTAATTGTGAAATAATCATTAATTTTACTTTTTTTTTAAAAAATTAATAGCAATACTTACGTGTTAAATGTATACTCTCCTGGTTGATTTGTATGCAAAACAAATTTCACTACTTTATGGGTCTGAGCATCAAATAATATATCTAAGCCAAGCGAAAAATAATTGAAAAAATAATCTGATTTTCTTGGTTGCACAAGTCGATGTGATTGAGGAAGGTGAATTTTCATTTTATCTTCAGTTTTATAAAATACACGACTTGGTGAACCTAAAGCTGAAAGTACATCCTAATTAATAAAAAAACAAAGAGGAAATGATAAACTACTAGTGTGATTTAAGTAGTATACTTTGAAAAACTAAAAACGATAATGCAAAGACAACAATGGACCGAGAAGTTTTGAACCTTTATTAGCAGCGTGAGAATCAAGTTCACTTTGGATAATAAATAACCTTTAAAAGGTAGCACACTTATGGATAAGAATTAAACCCGGTAAGCAGGAATTATCTTTTCCACTATTAATCTATTAGCACCGGTTTCGAAGGACTTTTAACCATGGTCATTTTTGTATTTAATGTCTCAAGATATAGGTATGGTTTACGGTATCTGAGCCCTTCTAGGATGAGACAATGACTTTTAAACTTGCTTTTCAACGGACGCCCGACTTGGATCAGTTTGTTATAACAATAAACTCTACAAATCTGTATATAGATAAATTGTGTTCTTATTCGTTATGATGAAACAGAGAGGTTAAATTCTTGGACAGAATTGGCTGTTAGATTTCCAAACTGAACGACAACCAAGAGAATTTATTGTCCGGACTTCAACAAATACACAAGCAACACTACTCTAGAGTTCTGGCTCTGGACAGTTAGTGTTCCATTTGATACACGGTCTGAACAATAAAAAGCCCTGTTATAGTTTGAATAGAAGCCCCAGGAGTTTGAGTTCGAATGAGATGGAATCAGTAAAGAAATAATGATAATATAATTTGAGGATCAAGGGAGTTAACAGTGTAAAGAATAAATTCGAGTGATACTATGGGAAGAATACTTTCCAATCGTGATACTTTGCCCATGGGAAGATATTTAAAAGACTGAACTATTACTGATGATCTTACCAGATTCAGAGTGAGGATACAAATTTCAAAAGGATAACTGCTTGAGACCAATCACAAACCTTGAATAAAAGATGGCTGTAATTTCATTAAGTTGTTTCCAAACTATTGCAAAGCTGACTACCGTTATCAGGAATTCGTATATGGCCTATTTGTAAGGGCATTCAACTTTTAGTTGCTAAGTTCCTGGTTCAAGTCAACTCCATCTACTTTGGTTTGAGTAACCAGACCTTATCATCAACTCACAGATTTCTTTATGATAAACATGACACCTATTTGAACACACAACTTAATGACTATTTTAAAGAGACTTGTGGAACTGAAGCAATCAGCCAAATACAAGGTTTAAAAATGATCTGAACAAAATTTGCTTAAAGAGCAAAAATAAGCCTTAATCACAAACCTGAACACAATCCCCAAAAGTTAAAGAGCGAGTAAACCGACGAATTTGAGGTTCGCGTGTTGGATTTACATTTAAATCTGCAAAAAACAGAAAGAACCAATGTGAATGAACGGACTAACTATTACTCGACTGAAACTTAAATAAATAATATAAGAACACTTTATTCACAGGGAGTTACTATAAAATATTCTTGAATATAGTTTTCCGATAAAATCGTTCCAATTTAAAAGAATTGTCAGTTTAATAAGTAGGCAGTTAAATGCTCCAGTATAGCCCAGAAAAAAGTGAGTTTTTTCCCTCGCACACTCAAAACTCCTTTATACAGCCTCCCGTTGATAGTCTGTTAGGAAAGCGCTGCTTACCGCATTCATGCGGCGTTTTTTTTCTAAGGGTATGAAAAGTCGACGTTTGCTCCTAACCTAGGTTGGTAGATATGAAAGGCTCATCTGGAGTTTTTAAAAAAGTTCATTTTAAACCAAAGCCGTATGTGGGCTACAGGATTCAGGAGAGACGAAGTGTATGAACCTGCTTAGGTCACCAGTTACCATTGTTACTGTTTAGAACAGATCTAAAGATTAAATGCTCTTTGAGTGATCCCCTTAAAAATCAACTGGTTGGGTGTATAGAAGCACCGTAATACACTCATAAACATGCTAACTGACAATTTTGAAGAAATTTCTTCCTTCATTAATAAACCTTGCTAGAGACTGCAATGAAGAACATAGTATAGTTTGACGGTTCCCTATTAATTCATTATAACTGAAAGACACAACAAAACAAATGAAACCATTATGGAGATGAGTTACATTTTCTCACTAATAGTTTTGTTTTATGCTTTACCTTTCATGAACTATTTTATCATAAAATTCACATCAAGAAATCGGTCCATAAATAAAAATTTATACAAAACGTCTGTAGCTTATCAAGCCATCGGAAGGATGACCTGACATTTGAATCAAATAATAACGGACTTGTAGAGCCAGAGAAATGTCACTAGGTCCTATTAAATTATACGGCAAACTGGTCAATGAATGTCAGACAGTTCACTAACAACCCACATCCATTAATGGAATGCTATGGACAGACACATGAGGAAGTGGTTCCGGTTTGTACTTTTGTTTACTGTTATAATGTTGCCTATTGAGAGTATCCATTTTAACCAGTCACTTGGTTATCACGGCAGCATAATTCAAGTTAAGCGTTAGCCGCAGGACGTGACGTAAGCAAAGGAATCGCACTGCTCCCGTCAAACTCGAGTAGGTCCACAACCATCGACACAGATTACGTATATTGGTGGTCTATGACTGATCATTGAGTGTGATTCATATTCTTCAACAGAATGCGAGCTTTTATATTCAAATTAGTCAATAAGCTTATACTATTAAAAGTAAAGTAATTTAATTCGAATTTATAATGGTTTTGACCATTAGACAATACCAATGACGTAATTTTATCAGTGTCTTATTTATCTCAGGTACATTTGAATTGAAAATGTAGATACATTGTAGGATAGCCGGTCTAGACATTTCGTTTTGTTAAAATTGAATTTTATAATTATTTTACGATTTTCAATCCTGTGAATTTACTTCTTTCGTCTCGAATCATATCGTCTACGCTTGGTCTTTTCCACTACCACTGCCACCGTTATTGTATTTACTATCTTGATGATTTAATCTCACAGTGGTGTTATGGAGTGGTAACTTGAACCAATGCACAAGTGGCAGGTCTTACATCGATTATGATCGACTCAGTGATCCGAGTATTAAAGCTATGATTGTGGTGGATACTACTCGCAACATGGCTTATAAATGGTATGCAGCGGAGTGACAATTCGATCTCTCTGCTAATATGATATGAAAACCTGAAATGATGTACGTACGTACGAAGTTCTTTGTAGCTGACTGACTGTTCGATCTGAGAGTATGGCGCGATTAGTGTTTTGAAGACCAGAAGATACGTGAAAGACAATAGCCAATAATCTGCTTGTTTCGCAAATAGAAGTCTGAAGATAAGATGTCCACATTTTGTTAGTAAATAGTGTCTTTCCTACATACACTACGATTCCATCTGGTTCTGATGTTCTTGTTCACTACACTATGTAAAATAAAGCATCTGAAATCAGTCAGTCAATCAGTTAAGACATAAAACTTGGTACGTACTTACATCACTTCGAGTTTCCGGAACAAGTTAACACATGAAGATGGAATTGTCAATTCAAACCACATAGTAGTAGCATTATTCTCAATTACCACTGTCTTCGTAAAGATTTAATAGGGAATATAACAATGAATAACAAATATTTTACAATGAAGCCAAAGCCTTACTAATAAAAGTACCAAAAATTGCCTAAAACAAACAAAAAATACTATCTACCTTGAGAAACAAGATGTAACGTTAAATCTGTGGTAGAATTGACTGATCTGTTGACTTTGAGTCTTTCGAGAAAAACATTTTGTAAATAGCATGCACTAGGTAGTTCAACTGGGACCCTAGAGAAACAGATTGTAAAGAAACAATGTTAGTGTAATTCAAATAAATGAAATGAGGAGCAGAGAGGATAAATGCCTTGAAATAAATAATGAACTATGCATAATGCTTAGTTATTGATATTTTCAGCGACTGCACTCATGAGGGTACGAAAGTGAGGAGCGCAACGATGGGTGATTTTAACGAGCAAAATATTTGACTGGTTAAGGTCACCATACACAAATACCTGGACGAATCAGTCCAGTATATAGATACAAAAGTTAGGCATATGTTCATTCGGCACTCATCAATTAAGGCTTTAAATGTATTCAGTGCTTAGAGAAGCGTTAGTATTAATTACAGTGGGAAGTCCACAAGAAATGACAGATGGAAAGTATGCTGTCACAAAGAGCTTAAGGTTTAGAAGGTAAAGAATAAACACAAGCGCTCTACCACGATTGATTTTTAGCCACATCACTTCATGTTTTTAACCGTATGCATGACAGTTGTATTTGGGCTCTAGAGGGAGTGAGTCAACAATCTAAACATCAGCGGAAATACAACTACTTAACTATATTGACCAGACATGGATCATTTACCTCTTTCTAAATCCCGACTATTCTATCGCATACTATTTATTGCATTTCATTTCATTGATTATTCCTAGTTGAGTACTTTTTGTTTCAAAGTATCGCAACGTAAACTTAGTGGTATACCATATTCTGCATTGCTTCAAATGCTATGAAAAACAAGAATTATGTGAACGGTGACAATAGTAAATGTAAAAATATAGCAGACGTTTCTAAAATTAGTAGAACTTACTTAGCTTCCGCTAAATGACTACCCAGGTAAATAAATAATCGTGTAGCAAGTAGATCAGACTTAGAGTCAATCGACTCACGACTTCCTCCTGATATTCCAATAGAAAACTTTCTGAAAATGAAGGTAATACCCCGGTAAGTTAGTTGATAGTCACCATCTGATTCTGTAGGAACTGTTTTCAATAGAGAAAAATATTATGACTATTAATCAAGAAACAGGGTACATGAGATAGTTAACTATGACTTGACGCAAGTGTAAAATTAGAAGCTTTGAATTTATGTACACGAGTTACTACATCAGTTAACCAATTAACTTCACCACAAAGAAATTCATTGTATCAACTCCATAAACATCTGAACTATCAACAGATATTATGGATTCTGAATAGTTATTTGGGCATGGAATAAGAGTATTAATCATCGGTTTTGAAGCGAGTTAATTACATTCTCGGTTCTCAAGTATAATAACAGATCTAAAGATTTTAGTTGTTTATAGACTTCAGTTAAATTAGCACAAACTGACATAAGATGTTAATATGACTGCAAGCTAAGCTTAGAAAGTAACTTCATATTCGGCTGGAATGAGCCACGAACCTAATGGACTGAGTGGCAGTTTTATCAGACATAGTTTAGACACCAAAAAACAACTACGTTTCCCGGCTTTCTAACAAGTTGGCTTGACAGACTTGAACTATATAAATTCATTTATTTAAATGGACTTCTAGTTTCCGATGTTTCCACCGCGTACTAAAGCTTAACAATTAGGTTTGATAATAAAGTTTCATCTTTAACCCTACCCTTTATAAAACTTTACGCTTCGGATTATAATTTTACTGATACTAATTACTTCCATGAATACGGGTATTTATCAACAGTTGAGTTCAGAAGCCAGAAATGAGCAAAATACTCGTGGTGTACGGGTCCTTATATTATCACCAATTCTTTAATCCTACTATTCGAAGTGGTATCTGCATCTTCAATTGACTCACTTCAGAGAAAACTAGACATACAAAGTAGTAACACAAGTCTTTAGTCTACTGTACTTCATTTAAAAATAAGTCTGTTTATTCACATTTGAAAGGTTTTTCAGACTTCTGATGAGTAAAAGAACTTAAGATTTCGCTTATTCACGCTCCATAGCTTGCTTTAATGCAATAGAACATACCAAGATCGAAAAGTTTAACATAGACAGAGAAACATAGACAACTGTTAAACTGGTTGTGCTTTGTAAAAGAGAAATTTAGTTTATGAAATAACCATTTTACTAAATTTTAATACATCTTTGCATACCCAGTGGTTTAGTGGAACCGAATATTCTTAGGACCTCCTGCATCGTTGGTAAGATAGATGGACTATTGAAATACTGTGACCTGGAAAGTAAACTCGGAAAAGCGACCAGTTACCAGTATCGTAATGTGATGGAGGACAAATCAATAACTTCGATGATCTGTACAAAGTCAAAAAACTGGAGTACCAACCCTAAGTCTTTGTAAAAATGGATCGAAGTGAAACCTGACGCCATCAGCAGGTAGTACTAACACCAAATTCATGCTGTAAGGATCCTTGTCGCTATACCAAAAATCAACATTTTTAATCGTATGATCCTGTTTTCGTAGAATGTCAATCATTTGTTGAATAGGCATTCCGAGAATGAACTCCCAGGATTTATGACGTATCCCCAATTCGGGGACAACCTCGACATCCAGCATCTTATTATTATCTGGACACAACCGTGGCGCTTCGCGTCTAGCCAGAAAGCACCTTGTGCACTAAGGAAGCATGCACGGTGGCGTGTGTGGGGAACTGGAAAAGAAAACAGAAGAGGTGAGAAGCGACTCAACAAGTGCACAAAATGCAATAAAGGATGGTAATAAACAAAATTTAGTAATTATGCAAGTTTCATAATAAAAAAATTTGGGAACTGAATAGTATGAGTAGTACGTGCGGATAGTATGAAGTCAAGATGTAACACACGTTATCAGCGTTTATGGCTGGCAGAAAATACCTAAAACTACAGTATACAAACTTTAATCACGGAACTCACGAATAGGCAAAAGACGGAGAGTCAACTAACAGATTGTAATTATAAGATTGAGTAACGCAGCCTTCCAATATCCAATATCTTTTTCACGAGCTAGTGTAAACCAATTTGATTTCTTCGCACTCGATTCTTGTTCTTTCGGTACCGTTCCAGGTGTTCGGTAATGTCCAATGGATGGAGGTCTAGCCACTCGACTGTCTAATTCTAGTCAGTTGGCAGTTGGTTGTGAGTTTGTATGTCTCGGGATTTGAATGAAACTTTTGTTTCAGGGCAATAGGGTTTCTGGATACCAGCAACTATCAAATTACCATACCGGAAATCAGTTAGTTGCAATATGGAGATTAATAAGGGTAATACGGATAAAACTAAAATGATAATATGAATAAAATTTCAGAACTGAGAAATATATAGATGGATTTAGTTTGTTAATTGGTTGTGAGGATTGTGAGAGAGGACCGAAGAGTAAGCAAGGGAGAGGAAACAGAGATAATAAGCAAGATAGATTGATTGAGTGATCTGAGGAGATGGCAATGGTAACAACTAGCAGGTCTCAAGATATGCATCATGAACAGCTTATCCAAGAGGGAGATGATAGTCCGTATGTGAGTACGTGCTTATCAAGTTTCTTCTTAAAGCAGTTCACAAAGGGGGCTGTGGTTACCTCGGCTGGGAGAGCATTCCAAGTTGCGACGAATCGCAATGAGAAAACGTGTGCACGAATATGAGTATTCGCTCTTTGATGTGCAATCTTTCGAGGATTGCCTCGAGGGGAGTGGTGGTGATGCATCGGTAAGATGCTCACATTGGGATGGTTTGGCGTGTTTAATATGGTGTACGCCATGATCAAATCTCCTCTGATTCTCCTGTAGCTCAGTGGAAATAATCCCAAAAGCTGGAGTCTATCGTCGTAGGGTTTATTTTTCAACCCTATCACCCATTTAGTTGCTCGTCTCTGCGCTCGATCCAAGAGATTTATGCATCTTTTAAGCAGGGGGGTGCGATGAGATTGTGAACCTCCAAGTGTGGGCGCGCGTGCTTCTTGAAAATGGTTAAAAATAATTTCGGGGTTATAGCACCAAGTTGTCTTCGCATGGAGTGAAGAGTCGCATTTGTCTTGGCTGCATCCCCTACATAGTTCGGACTGGTGTGGAGGCTTTCTTTGCATATTAGACCGAGATTGCGCTCTGAGGAGACATTAGAGAGCGGACTTCCATTGAGGGTATAGATCGTTTGCGTCATGTGAGGCAGGAGATGCATAACGTGGCACTTCGGTTGGTTGAGTTTTAAACCGTTTTTCACTGCCCATTTCGCAATAGATGTAAGGTCCTTTTGAAGCTCAGTCGAATTCTCTTCGCTTATAGTAGACCTCCAGATCTTCGCATCTTCTGCGTAGATCAATACCGGTGAGCTGACTGAACCTAGCAGGTCGTTAATAAATAACAGGAAGAGGAGTGGGCGTAGGATGGTCCCCTGTGAAACTCCCGATGTGGATACTCGCCAACTCGCGTGCACTCTGTATACCTCGGTGCGAAACTTTCTATTCTCAAGGTAGTTTCTGAGCCAAGATATCTTTTTCACTAGCTACATGGATAGTTATTTCAACATACAAAAGTTTTTTTAAAGTAGAGTAAGTAGAGAAAGTGTACAAAAACAGAACTTAGACTAATACACTTGTTAAAACACTGCAGACATTAAGAGAGCCTAACATTTCAGAAGGAGGGAGAGTGGTTTATCTGACCTGCATTCGTGAAAATGGGGCAATAACCTCAATCTGTCTATGCCTGTGAAGCAGGAGATTTTGTTCGCTTACGGCTCCTTACGATATAGCAAGACGTAACTGATAAATGATGTTGATGCTACTTTCCTATGTCCACAACGTCTACGGCTCATGATTGTAACCTTGAAATAGTTTCATTTCCTGTCCAGAAAACCCATTACAAGCAGATCTGTCTATTTATATTGTAAAAGAGTTCGCTTGTGACTTCTTGCGATACAGTGTTAAAAAAGCAATAAGTTAAAGATCAACAAAGAATCAGATCACTGTGTCATCAATTTGATTTCTAACAATTTAGTTTTTTTAATCTTCTCTAGTCATAAAACTATTTCCCTTTTCGCTATTTTACTAGAGACTTGTCCCCAGTAATCTACATAAGTGCAGGTGTACAGCTAGTGTTCTGTTACAGAAAAAGAAAGGTGTGAGTAATCCTGCTTTAGTGTTGTCCAAAAGTTATCTGCTGAGTCATCGCTCAGCTTTAAGCAAGAATATTCTTCCTTTTGCTCCTGGTCCCTTTCTCTTTGTTTCCCTTTTTCAGCACCCCACCCTACACTTTAAATATTGACCTGATATCGCAGAAGACTTGGTTGCTTTTCTCAGGAGCCTGTCACATTACTATCTGACGGGTCTTTACAGGAAGATCATCAAACATTTACCTCATCACTTCTTATTTACAGACCAGGACTTAACTGGTATTTATTCTCAACTCAACCGATATAACCTGCGCCAACTACTATGAACGTAAGCTCAGCGAAAAGGCATTGTTGTCGGAAGCTGAAGAATCTGATAATTGTAACTATTATGGTGAGATTTACCAAGCTTTGTGCATTCTTTTATCAAGAATACTCTGTAATGTTCTTACAGTATCGATAACTGTGTCTTAAACAATTCGGGTATAGAAGTATTATAAGACTGTACCAAATGAACGATGATATAAAGTGATAAGGTGGGACAAATGTTCAAGAATGTTCTGGTAGTTGCGGGTGCAAACGGCTTTAGTGAGGATGAAGCCGAAATCATTATGTTTGTAGTGAGAAAATTCAAGATGGCATTTAGGGATAACTGCTTACTTGGTTGACCTGGTTGCTGAGGCGTGTTACAGCGTGGCTCGCGAATGCATTCCTAAAACGTAAAATCTGGGAAAGAGGCTTAAGTATAAAAAGGAGCTTAGGATGTTGTTAGTTATTTGCATAACTAATTGTAGTTATGTCATAATCCACCAATCAGATTGTGGCTTAAGCGCCCACTGCGTGATCTGGTCTGACGTGTCTGTGAACTTTCTTTGTTGTAAATGACCTACTAATTGAAGGACATTATTATCTTGTCATATTGATATGACTTATATCTTTATTAATTTCCATAAGACACGTTATATTGGTCTGTACGTTTGCTCGTCTTATTTGATAATTGTAATTTCCTTATTTATTATAATAATCTAATCTTTTTTTATGTTTGGAAACAGATAAAGTTTAAAGCAAAATTGGTCCTGTTCTGATAGACTCTGTGCCCGCCAATATTGCGTTTACAGTTCCAGAAGTACATCTGTAGGACAAATTAAATCCTACAGATGTCTCTACACTACTCCCAATCACATTAATTTACATGGAAGTGGTAGTGAGTATTTTGATGAGCAACTTGGTAAGTATCAACGTTTTATTAGTCAGTTTATTTGTGTTTTAGGACGTAGTTTGTCGGATAGGTGTCAGATGTCATCCTATCTGTCGCACAGCTATTAAGGCTTGCATCCATCCTTTCTAACTGCTGTTATTTTAAAAAGCACGGCTGATTTTGCATGACCTACTAATGGGTAATATTTTGGTCGCTCAGAAATTAACTTTGGCTTTCCTAATTCATGGATCTGTTTTGGACTTTCAGCACATAACAGACTCTGTCACTGGTCTACAAAACGTGTGTACTATGTCAGAAAAAATTAGATGTATGTTAGATGCAATTCGCGAGGTATATTTAGAAATAATCATTTTACATCTATTACTGGAGTTGTAAAACAAGTGGCAAAAGTTGGTGATAATACCATAATTACTGTTTAAAAAACTAACGTCAAGGAATCGGCGTTTTCTGTAGAAGAGAAGGCCAGGGTTTCTTGAACAAGTGATGGTAGGTTGTCACAACACCATGCGGAGATCGATAGTAAAGGTCATGTTCAAGGAGAAGGTTTACAAAGGATAGCAGCCTTCAGAATTGATATAGAACTGTGATGAATAAGTATCTGAGAAGAAGCTGTATCATTAAAGTTAATAAAACAGGTTTTGATTACAATTTGTATGGTTAAGAAATCCCACAAAATCTTGTTATCGATTCTAAAATAACAGTGACATTGATAATTGTATTCCATTGCATCGCAGTTCATCAAGACTTGAATATCTCTCTATGTATTGCTGAAAATTTGATAAAAGATGTGCAAGCAAATGTAAATTGACTTTAAGTCGATTGTAGGATTTAATTTGGCCTACAGACGCAATACTGGTGCTCACGGAATCGACAATAAAATCAGAACAATGGAAACTTGGTTTTAAACTTTATCTGTTTCTGAACAAAAAAAACGATTAAATTAGCACAATAAATAAGGAAATTATAATTATCAAGTAAGATGAGCAAACGTACCAGCCAGTATAGCGTGTCCTTAGAAAATGAATAAAAAACATGAGTCACATCTATATCAAATAAAATAATAACATCCTTCGATCGATAGGTCATTCACAACAAAGAAAGTTTATAGACCGGTCAGACTAGATAACATGGTGAGCGCTTATCCAATCTGATTGGTTAGTTATGACATAACTACAATTAGTTATAAAATAACTAACATCGATAACCATTTGTCCTGTGTGCGATTCAAGTAGATTAAGTAGAACCTTCAGTTCATTTTTAAGATAGGATGGCTTCAGGCTCATTGTATTGATAGGTATTGACTTACAAGTCGTTAAACCAGTTCCACCAGAAGGGAAATGAGACACTAATCGAAATCGACTTTGAACGGCTTCCAGCGAAGCGTACGTTGTGCATCTTCCCAAAAACTACGGACGATAACTTTACATTTAAGGTTTGAATACCGAAGATTCCCGTCACTAAGAGGACCATATTATCGAGTGTAGCTTTGATCTGTTGGTCCTTTGGGAGTATTTTCGCTACTCAGACTCCCCATCGAAGCAGGTACCTCAGCAATTGTACGGGTCATCTATAGGTTAGCAAGAACAGATCATGTACTATCAAATTATATGTTGGCTCGATTTAGTGGACGAAATGCAGAAGGTTGAGAAGTATGAGCATACTAGTGAATGTTCCAAAGTTAGTTTTAACCACAACTTCGTTAGATTATTTTGATATATCACTAGAATCTTGTGGGCTGGTACAATGTTAAGGTCACCGAATACTTGGAGAAGGCAAGAAATAGTCGTAGCGAAAACAAATAATCAAGAGCGCTTTACTTGTTCATGTAGGCATGGTTACTCTATATAACCCTCCGCTGTTCGTGCCAAACATATTGTTCTATATCTATCTCTAATGTGGTTAGTCTCTTGCCTAGAAGTCATTGCAGAATTATTGGGGCACAGAAGCCCGAGGTTAGGTAGGAATATATACAGAAAAGGAGGTTGAGGACATTAGATGCACAATTAATAATAAAAATATCCTTTCATTTGTTTGTGAATCTTTTGATAGTAAGACATGTGAAGTCACTTGATATGAACTCGCTTTTGAAAGTTGTACACTTACACTCGGTGTCATTTGTCATAGTCCAAGCTGCTGAGGTGATGACTATTCTAGAGAACATTGATCTATGGAATAAAAGTAACAGATGCCCGATATTAGAAGTTTGGACAGAGATGTTCAAGATACAATCTGGAAGTCCTTTTGGCAGTAGGTTCTTGTTTGTTTACTATTGGTTTATTCCAAACTGTAAAAAATATATATATTCATTCAAACCACGGGACATATAATTAACTGCCAACTGACTAGAATTAGTGCAGTCAAGTGGTTAGACTACCACCATCCACTGGACATTACCAAATATCTGTAACCGTACCGAAATAACAAGAAGCAAGAGGGAAGAAATTAATTGGTTTATACTAGAGTGTAAGACAGATATTGGATATATGATTGTTTTAATGAGCAGTTTGTGCGTCTTGGCAACTACATCAGCGCCGGCAACTGAAATTCTCATATTTAATTGAGAACTGTTTGGCTCTCCGTTTCAGGTCTGTTTAAATGAATTTACATTATTAAGTCTTTATAATGCTAATAAATACTAGGAATAAATAGTATAGTACCAAGATACTAGGTTAAGATGATAAATATCTTCAACAGCATCGAATCAGCAAGCGAGCTCAAAAAATGAATTGTTTTATACTAGCTCATGAAAAATTAATGGATATTTGGGAAATATGTTTGGGGTTTATTGTGGTTGTGATCACTCCAACTTGACGAACAATGTTGTAATCTGTACGTGGTGTGGAAGTCAGTTGGGAAAACGTTGAATGTGTGCAGACAAAAATGTGGCATCAGTCTCGAAATTCGTTGCTTTTCAGTCTAATATTTAAGGCTAAATACACAACCAGTCTGAAGTCCACGCAATAATTAGGACATACGAATAGAGACATACATCTGACGTTGGTTTCAAAATCGATCACAGTTTTCGATATTGTTTTTTTAGATCTACAGTTCCGGCTCTTAATTTTTCTTCGGACATTTTTTCTCATCCCAGTATCCAATATCTGTTTTACAAGCTAGCGTAAACCAGTTAATTTCTTTTCTCTTGCTTCTTGTTATTTCGGTACGGTTACATACATTTGGTAATGTCCAGTGGATGGTGGTAGTTTAGCCACTCGACTGCATTAATTCTAGTCAGCTTGCAGCTTATAAATTTTTGTGTCCCGTGATTAGCGTGGGTGCGCTTGTCGCTGGGCAGTAGGCTTCCTAGATACACACAGCAGTCACATTACCAGATCGGAGATCAGTTATTTGCAATGTGGAGAGTAATAAGAAAATTCTAATGCTAATAAGAGTGGAAACAGAGATAATAAGCAACATAGAATAAGTTATTGATCTGAAGTCATGGAGTAATATGTACCGGTAATTTTTGGTTTCAGCAAGTTGTCCAGCTGTGTCATGCTGTGAGAATATTGGATGTGCACGACCTGCGTTTCCTAAACCCGTTTTGGGCTTCATGGATGATGTTGTTCTTATACATATACTTCCTTATCTGCTCGCTCGCCAGTGCTCCTATTACCTTCGTTAGTATCGGTAGTAATGCTACTGGTCTTTAGCAGACTGTATCATTTTTATCTCCACCATTGAAGATTGGAGAGTGAGTAGCTTGTGTCCATTCAGCTAGGAGTTGGTGTGACTCTAGTGAGTGCCTGAACGGGTCACATGCCAGTCAACTGACAGCTTTCACACACTGTTTCTGGTGACTTTTTGGCTCAAGGACTTTAGCTTTTGTAGTACTAAGTCAGGAGTCGGATATGCCCTAGGCCGTCAGTTGGCACTAGGTTTGAGTAGTACTATGAGCTTGTAGGTATCTACTTTAACTGGTTGGTGAAGTTGGTATTAAAGATCTCAGCCACCTCTTATTCGGAAAGATCTTCGTTTGCACTTTTGAAAGAACAAACTGGTTCGTAGGATGTTTTTCAGTCATGAACCTAAACAGACATTTTGGGTTCGCGCGTATTTTGGCGGCTGGCTTCGTCTAGAAGTGTCCTCCATCGCTTCAAACTTTGACATTACATCTGTTTCACAGTGCTAAGTAAGAACTACTGTCAGAATCACTCAGAGAGACCTTCCACTTGTGCCAGGCCCTCTGCCTGTAGCAAGCTTCCAGTGCCTCACATAACCCACTTTCTCTACTCAGATGTGTGATGTGCCTGAGATACGTTGTGTAGGGCAACATTCTGAATGGTGTCTCATTCTTCGCAAGTAATCATCTACTGTTAGCCCCCACCATTCCTGTAGCCATAGGGAGTGTAGAAGATGCATTCTCACAGGTGTGTAGTTCACCCTAGTATAGCAAAGATAGGACGTGTTTTCGTTTCCCTCCGAGTATTTCGTTTGTAACCATATTGAACACACCTGCACCATGGTCACTACTTCCTATTTTTGTATCAACATATACGCTCTCAACTGGGAGGTGATCGTTTGTTGATAAATAATCCAAGTTTGAAGGTTTTCCATCTTTACTATATCTAGGGGCGCTACACACACTCAGTATGGAGCCTTAATGGCGATGAAAAATCGCTTTTAAACCAATCCATGTGAGTTATAATCCACTTGCTTAGATTTATGGATAGAGTATTGAAATCTCCGGCTCTCCGATTAAGTGTTTTGTGCCATTCGTATTGAGGCAGCACCAGCAGGATTCTTTCTCATCGGTTAGTTTGGTACCGTGTGGTGTAACTGCTTTAAAATGGATGTCAATAAATATCGTTACTCCGACTCCCGTTTTCTGCACCCTATCGCATTGGCAGTATCATGCCTTGCGAGCTAACTTTGTCGTCTGCAATGTTTGAGATAGCCATGTTCCAGTTAGGATTATGATCCTCAGATCCATCTGAGAGCACATATTCTTGATCTCTTCCAGTTAACCCTTAAGTCTTCTTACTTCACTATAAAGCCACTTGATGTTTTGCCTCATCATCTGATGTACCTCTGCAGCAAAAACCGTTCTCGGATTACTAAACAGTCTGGTCAAACCTGGTTGGTCAGTTCTGTGGGAAAAACCTTCCACTGTGGTGGCAGCTGCAAAGTGACATGCACCCTCGTACTCCTAACAACACATGAGATCAACTAGCTCACACTCAAATCTTTCACTCGCCTCTTAATAACTCTTATCTCGATGACCAACCCTTTCATCCCTCATATGAGATGAGGTACGTTTACTTAGAACAGGCTCTCTGCAAAGGCGCTATTAGTCTAGTCAGGATCTTTGTTTGCCTATTGACTCTACACTGTAGTCAAAAATACCGGGACTACGGACAGGGTGACTTAGTATGAACTGTCTCTGTACTGCAGTATCACAGTGGTGGTGAACCCATCAATTCAGAAATCACAGTTAATTACAGAATAGTATATTTCAACTGGCAACGAACAGGTAATACAATTCAATCAATCAATCAATCAAATGCAACGTAGAACTTTGTACATAAGTACATCAGTTCATGTTGCCATACCACATCAGCACAGAGCAGTAATCGTCAATTCAAATCCAATTGTAGAAGAGGTAGTAAGGGAATTAGAAATAATCGGAGAGGTTAGGATTAGAAGATACTATTCAAGAAGTATGATTCAGTGAGAAAAGTATAGAAAGTCGAAACTAGAGGTGTTGAAGAATCCAGAAGATTAGGATTTGAGAGAACACAAAGAATAAATGCACCTGCGCCATTGCGAACGATTTTGAGCCATGTCATTCAAGGTCTCTAACCATCGATTATTATCATCTCGCGGACCCCAACCAGGTAGTCTACAATTACCGACATGGCTCAGTCCACTAGTCAATGACTTCATGGATTTCTGCCATGTTTTGGTTTGGCCGCCCCTAACTTTCTTCCAACCTATTCCTACACTACAAAACAAGGCTCGACGAGGCAGCCGGTGGTTGGGCATACGCAACACATGTCCCAACCACCTCAACTGGTGAAGTTTCAATACTTCATCGATTGATCTGCCATTCTTACCTAGCACCCGATTCCTAATAACAGCGTTGCTCATTCGGGTGTCCCACGATATACGAGCAATGCTTCGAAGACACCTATGATCGAAAACCAATAACCTACGAATATCTTCTACTCTCACTGGCCATGTTTCACAGCCATAAAGTAAGACGGAGCGAACCACTGCGCAGTACACGCGTCCTTTAGTCAGCAAACGGATATCTCGCCTACGCCATAAGTGACGCAGGTTGGCAAAAGCCAATCGAGCCTTCTGTATCCGTGCTGAGATTTCGTCCGTCACCAGGCCATCGGCACTGATGAGGCTCCCAAGATAAGTGAAGCGGTCTACACGTTCGACTACTTCACTCCCTATCACTAGTTCAGGTGCCGATGCAACCCAGTCTTGAAGCAACATTTTGCATTTTGAGGGGGAAAACCGCATCCCGAACATGCTTGCATTGTTGCTTAGGGTAGTCAGAAGACTCTGCATTTTGTCAGCGTCTTCACCAAGTAGGACAATGTCATCGGCATATTCTAAGTCAATAAGCGAGCCACCTGGTAGAAGGTCTACTCCTGAAAATTCAGACGAGGATAATGTTATGTCTAGGAGCATGTCTATGATAAAATTAAACAAGAATGGAGAAAGTGGACATCCCTGACGGACACCACTTGATGTAGAGAATTCCGGTGACAGTTCGCCATAAGCTCTCACTCGACCAGTGGTGTTCGAGTAAAGAGCTTGTATAAGGTTAATGTGGTAATACAATTATAATTGTTGTGTTCTTTCTGAACAGTAGGTTGCGTAATTTGAGTTTTGGGACGTCTTTTTTCTTATTTGTTCATTGCCTGTTAGTCGTTACAGGAGCAGAAATCTAGGAGTTTCGTTCTGGTTCCTTTGTTGAAGACCCAGTGGTGTGTGAGTCGAGTGATCTGATTTATACATAGACAGACAGATAAAACACAGAACTTCTTACGCACGTACATCAGTTCAGGTTGCCATACCGCTTCAGCATAGAGACGCAACTGTCAGTTCAAATCCATTAGTGGTAGCTATAGCAGGAGTATTAGCAGTAATGGAGAAGATTAGGGAGCGAAGATATGATTCGAGAAGTATGATTCAGTGAGATACCTTTAGAAAGAGAAAGACAGAGATAATGAGGAATTCAGAAGGTTAGAATTTGAGAGAACACAAGGAGTGGATGCACTTACGCCATAGCAAACGATTGTGAACCGTCGTTCAAGATCTCTAACCATTTGCGACTTACGTCCCGCGGACCCCAATCAGGTAGCCCGAAGACAAGCAACCTACGAATTTCCTCTACTCTCACCAGCCATGTTTCGCAGCCGTATAGTAGGACGGAGCGAACTGCTGCACAGTACGGTCCTTCTCCCATTAACAAACGAATATCTCGCCTGCTCCATAGGTGACGCAAGTTGGCAAAAGCCAATCGAGCCTTCTGTATCCGTGCCGAGATTTCGTCAGTCACCAGACCATCAGCACTGATGAGACTCCCAAGATAAGTGAGGCAGTCTACACGTTCGACCACTTCACTCCCTATCACTAGATCAGGTGCCGATGAAACCCAATCTTGAAGCAACATTTTGCATTTCGAGGAGAAAGCCGCATCCCGAACATGGTTGGATTGTTGTTTAGGGTAGTCAGAAGACTGCAATTTGTCAGTGCCTTCACCGAATAGGACAATATCATCAGCATATTCTAAGTAAGCAAGCGAGTCTCCTGGTAAAAGGTCCACCCCTGAAAAGTCTGACGAAGATAATGTCAACTCAAAAAGCATATCTACGACAAAGTTAAACAAGAATGGGGAGAGTGGGCAGCCCTGAAATTATACATATTATTTCAGGGTCTACTATCGAGTGAAGTTTTGAGATTTTTTACAACTCTTGCTAGAAAATGTGATTTTTGACTCACTACTAACCCCGGTATTCAGACCTCTACTTTCTTAGTTGCTGTAGTATAAAAACTGGTAGCAACGCTGTTACTGTACACGTTACCCAACATACTAAAAAACTAGTCTGTGAAATAATTTGAGGAGAAAAATATGCGAGATTTCAGTTTTGAGGAAGAAAATTAATAATGATAAATTGAGTGAATATATTTACAACGCAAGAGTAGAGCCTGAAAGACAGCCAAAAGTGCAACTTTACATTTGACAGTTCTAGCAATCGACTTTATATGGATCCAGTAACTCTTCCATTAGTCCTGTGTTTGTAAGTAAATGAATTTGTGTATGCTGCCGTTGAAGAGAGCAGTTGATCGATACAGCTAGACCTACTGCACAGTAGTTCTATCTTGGTATGATTACGTCTGTCTGATTAGTTATTTTGACTTCCTATCAGTGAAAGGAGATAAAGTTTATATCTTCGAGAATGTTTATATGTTAAAATTCGGTATCGGAAACTGGATTATTTCCAGATAATCATGAGAGGTGAACGAGATCATGTCAGAATCGCTGAGTATTTGTTTGTTATTCTTCACTAATAAGCTTACTACATTATTTGAGTAATGATTTTCATCTCAACTTTACCTCTTCTTTTATGGTAAACTAATATAGGTTAACTGATAGGGAGTGAAATAATCGAACGTGTAGACCACTTCACTTATCTTGGGAGTCTCATCAGTGCCGATGGCCTGGTGACTGACGAAATCTCAGCACGGATACAGAAGGCTCGATTGGATTTTGCCGACCTGCGTCACTTATGGCGAAGGCGAGATATCCGTTTGCTGACTAAAGGACGAGTGTACTGCGCAGTGGTTCGCTCCGTCTTACTTTATGGCTGTGAAACATGGCCAGTGAGAGTAGAAGATATTCGTAGGTTACTGGTTTTCGATCATAGGTGTCTTCGTAGCATTGCTCGTATATCCTAGGACACCCGAGTGAGCGACTCTGTTATTAGGAAACGGGTGCTAGGTAAGAATGGCAGATCAGTAGATGAAGTATTGAAACTTCATCAGTTGAGGTGGTTGGGACATGTGCTGCGTATGCCGCATCACTGACTGCCTCGTCGAGCTTTGTTTTGTAGTGTAGGAATAGGTTGGAAGAAAGTTAGGGGCGGTCAAACCAAAACATGTCAGAAATCCATGAAGTCATTGACGAGTGGACTTAGCCATGTCGGTAATTGTCGACTACCTGGTTGGGGTCCGCGAGATGATAATAATCGATGGTTAGAGACCTTGAATGACATGGCTGAAAACCGTTCGCAATGGTGTCGGTGCATTTATTCTTTGTGTTCTCTCAAATGCTAATCTTCTGGATTCTTCAACACCTCTACTTTTGACTCTCTAAACTTATCTCACTGAATCATACTTCTTGAATCATATCTTCTAATCCTAACCTCTCCGATTACTCCTAATACCTTTACCACCTCTTCTACTATTGGATTTGAATTGAAAATTATATCTCTGTGCTGATGTGGTATGGCGACATGAACTGATGAACTTACGTACGAAATTCTACGTTGCATCTGACTGACTGAATATGGGTTAAAGGATATTTTCACCATATTTTTCAAATGGTATCTAGTAGCGGTGGATCATCTACGCCTTCAGATAGCGTCCTAGTTAAACCATGGTGAAATTCATTTCAAAGTGTATATAGAGAGGTTAACTCTCTTCGAACGCCACGAAATTCTAATCCACTAACTCAGATCCACATTGCTTTAGAGACTAGAAGCTTTGATGTTAATCGTTTTTCTTGTAGTAGTTTTATGGTAATATATCAATTTATTCTTGGCCTTCTTTAACTCCGGTTGACCTAACTCAAGAAAAAAGATCACTAACATTCTCACATAATAGTTATAACTTAACAGGCAAATCTTTGTTACTGACAACAACTGATTACACAGTATATATTGCTTACAAAAAGTCAATTCATGATGAACAAGTGAGTTTCAGAGCTCATTCGATTTTAACTGAAAAAAAAATCACTTGTCGGAATTATTAGAAGTTATTATTTAATTTTACTCGTATCATTATCCCACTTATCGATTATATTGAATTATTTCTTGCAGAAACGCTAGGAAGTTATCACATTATGGCGTCAACTCTATCACACACTCCTGTATTTGTTAATAATAATGCTATGTACGAACCAAATCTTATCAATCATAACCTGAAATCAACTGTTCAAACCAATCCAAAATTCACAAATACCTCAATGTACAATCTTGATTTATTGAAATGGCAATCGAATACACCAAGCAATTCAATGAATCGGTTACAACCACTCAGTGAGGAATAGTTTGAATTTTAAGCTTGAGTTTCTGCCTTTCAATTTTAATTTAAGTGGAAGATAAGCATACATTTTAAAATTGTTTATATTTTAGCTGCTGAAGACGGTTTTGAAATTAGAAAAGTACTGTAAATCTCAATGAGCTTGTATGGTTTCACTTTAACTAAAGATATAGTAAATTATTGTTTAAGCTAAGCGCTGACAAACACCAAATGGAGGTAACTTGTACGAACCATCAGGAAAAAGTTTAATCTTTTTAGCCATAGTTTTATCGTCAACTGTAATGTTTGAAAGACTTGCAGTGTGTAGATTAAAGTTTGTGGAAACGTTTTGATCTACATTTTACATATGATCTGGATTACATTAGTCTTCTTAATTAAGTTCAGCTATCAAGGAAGAAATCATTGATGGTTGTTGGTAGGATGTGCGAGCAAAAATATTTAACATACTGAAGATATCGAAGCGTTGACAGTAAAGCACCTTAGTCTTCTCATTTTAAGGTGTGTTGTTTGTAAGCTGATCAACTAAAGTTGAACGAAAATTGTCTTTGATTTTCAACTTAACTTCAGGATTAATAACAACGAAATGATTTTTCGTTAATTAAAATTACACATTACAATCACTGAGGTAAGTAGTATCCTATATTGAGAATTGAGTTGAGTCAGAGTATGACGCTTTAAACTATTTTTTAAGAATAAAAATATCTTCAGAGCAACATTTTATAAGTAAAAACAGTTTCGAGCGATGGAACAAAAATCATATCTTTCTTGTAAAATGAATATATGAAGGAATGAACTTAATTTGAGTTTCTTTTTAATCTAATAGAAATTGAAATAGTAATGAATAAGACCAAGTAATTTACAAAGTAATATAATCTATTCTAAGGACAAACATTCATTCATCCAAAGAAACTAATATTTACGATGAAATTTGCTTAAGCACTTCAATGAAATGCAACTTCATTGAATACTGTCGATAAAATGACCAGTCATTTGATAGTGTCCATGTACTCACTCTTCATGGTATTCAATGATGACAAGCTATCTGTAACTGGTCACCCAGTTAAGTTGTATATAATTTAAAGCAATGCGAAAATCATTTGCAAAATTCTTCATAACCTAGTTTAGTATTGGGAGATAGTAAGTAACTTGAGTGAGTTTTTTTAAAAAATAAAACTTGTCCTCTCCAGGACTTACTTACGTCTGTTAGCCCCAATGGAGCATAGGTCGCCGACCAGTATTCTCCAACCTACTCTATCCTGGGCGTCCCTTCCCAATTCTGTCCAATTTTTGTACATTCTTCTCATAATTGTTTTCGTTTCTCGGCGTAATGTGTTCTGTACCCTTCCTCTTTTCCCTTGACCTGTGAGGGCAGAGTTTAAATGGTTTGAATTGTTTTTTTTTAGTTAGCGTTTTTAGCGAGTTAGTTTTCTACGAGATGGGTGTAGGATTTAATTTGTCCTACAGATATACTTCTAGAACTGTAAACGCAATATTGGCGAGCACAGAGTCTGTGGGAAAGCTATAGTCAAAATAAGACCAATATATAGCGTGTCTTATAGAAAATGAATAAAACTCTGAGTTACATCAATATAATAAGATAATAATGTCCTTCAATTAGTAGGTCGTTTACAACAAAGAAAGTTCACAGACACGTCAGGTCAGATCACGTGGTGGGCGCTTGAACCACAATTTGTTTGGTTAGTTATGACAATTACAATTAGTTATGGAAATAACTAGCAATGAGGTTGCCGAACCCCACGCCCAGTCCTCCTCCTTTATCCGGGTTTGGGACCGGTGGTAACCCCGGAGGGGCTCCAGGCGGAGTGCTACCTAGGATTGTATTCGGTGTAATAATAATAATAATAATGATAAATTCATTTATTCTTAAATCCCCTTTCACTTCAATTATCAGGTAGTCGCCGAAAAGATTATATTCGTGAAAATATTCGTCATCTAAGACAATTAGAAGACAAAATAGCATGTAAACGTGCTTCGGAACAATGCGGCGGATCAGTTGTTTCAACGAACCGTACACAAAACAATTCATGCAATCGGCTTTCCTCATGTCGTAATACACCAACTAGATTATTTAAATCCGATGGAAATCCTACTATAGAGGTAATAAAAACAACTAGGGAGTTTTTATTTAATATCATTTACAAATTTTGAGCATTTCTTAACGATTGAATGCTGCCCATCATTAGAACTGGACTTTATCATCTTAATTGTTATCGTTAGTAGAAGCATACCACTGAATGACATTCATTGTGATCCCCATCTTTCTTTGTCTTGAAGGATGGTTTGATGATGGTGGGTCCGTGAGATTCCAACCCTATAAGTGCTTTTTTAGGGCTACTTTGGATAGCATCAGTGCAACCGCTTGGATGTGAGCGATTATCTAATTGATGACTGGGGTTCAATAGCATCTCTTCTGAATCAAGTCTTTTTTTTCCAACCTCGGTCTAATGTGTTTCACGTATTCCGAGCACCACCAAGTTGCATCTTTTCATTCCTGCAGCAACCTGAATGGTTCTTTCGATCTCCCATCGACCTCGTAAGTTTCGAAGAAATTTAGCTTTCATCATGAGGCATGATAACTCTTCTAGATAAAAGATCTCCCAACTACCAGGGCAGAGTCTAAATGGTTTAGATTATTTTCCTCGGGTTAGCACTTTTTTTATGAAGTTAGTTTTCTACGGGATGGGTTCGCTAACTTCATATCCATCCCTCCTTTATTTAGGCTTGAGACTGGCAGAACCTTAAAATAGTTAAAAGGCGGGGTTATTATTAATAGCTAGTTCATATCTTAAAGTAATTTTTATTTTGTTTTTTTCTCCAGACTAAATTTAATACTTCAGGTCAACAATTCTCATCATCAACTACTACCCTCGCGAAACCTCGTAAACATAATAATAATTCCATGACACGAAGTGAATCTAATGTTGATTTAAACAAAATTGATCATTATAAATCTTTACAGTTAAATAACTCTTCAATATTATCCACAGAAAATGAAAAAATTACAGATCATCGTTTTTCACAAAAAGTTCCACCAATTGCATTAAATTCCAATGGAAAAAATCAATCTCATCAATATTTATCATCAAGAACAAATAAATCGAATAAAAATCTACATTGTACAACAACATTAACAACACCAATTGAAAAAAAACCTGAATACTTACATCGGCCAGATGCTGGTGATGTTGAAAATGAAGCGGACATGCCTGCGTCAGCTAAACATAATAAACATTTGACTTTCACTAGAAGAACACTTGAACCAGAAGAAGTTGAATCAGGTAAAAATGTAAGTTTATTGATTCAATTCTAATTCATATTACTTTTTCATTATGATAATAATAATAATAATAATAATAATAATAATAATAATAATGATAATGATAATAATAATAATAGTACATTGAACAAATAAACTGAATTCATTAAAACAAATAATAATTTTCACTACCTACAGTGAATATCATTTGTAGTAGTTGTGGTGTGAGCTACTTATAAGTAGTATATGGCGTGAGTGTCAACGTAATGTCTGGCAGCAGAAGATGAGGGAAGATCAAGAGAAAGGAAGAGTGGGAACACAATGGAATTTGTATGAAACGCATGAATAGTGACAATGGATTGATGTTTTGCAACAGTAACAGTCCAGTTCGATAGGATGGACTGATAATTTGCAAATGAACGATTTACGATATGGTTTTCTGATTTTACTAAGTAACTCTGTAATTTTCGCTAGATACAATCAGATTGCTGCACCTGTGTTCTCCTTCACTACAGTAGGACTACTTACTACCAAAGGAAAACCCAAAATCCAATGAACAACTGTCTCATTCTTACATGTATGTAACACGTGTAATCAGCAGTCACTGAAGGGCGGATAAGATCTGAAAATCACAACACACAAGGTTAGTTTAACACCTCAAAACTAAGAGAGAACACGAAGTGGTGGCCACGACATTATTTTTTTTTAAAAAAAAATTAAGATACGCGGGGTTTGTACAGAAAACGGGTGGCTAGTTTACTAAAGTCTTAGAGTCATCCTGTAAGTTCAGAGCACGCAGGGCTTGTTCTTTAGCTTCCAAAGCGTTTATGTTTGATCGCCCTGAAATAGAAAGAAAACAGAAAACGGGTTAGCAAAACATCATACATGGTGATTTTAACTCTCTTAAGTTTTCAAAATTTTCACTGTATAAATTTAGTGTTGAATTGAATATAAATGAAGAATTATTTTTTAGAGAAATGGTAACTTCATCATGGGATTCCAGTCTTGTACGAATCAAACTGCAGTCAATTTTCAGTATAATTTAACCGCCTCCCATTGTCTTCAGTTAGTACTTCACTTACACTGGAGTTATTTGAACTGCATCGATTGCTGTATCTCACTGGAAGAATCAACAATCTTAATCTTCGAAAAGAAATCTCTCTAGTTCTGATAAGAAGCAGTGATCAATGCAGTTCAACAGTGTCCGGTGTGAAGAAAGTAACCACCGAAGACAATGGAAGTCGTTACTGTGGATTGACTAGAGTTAATTAAGCTTGTACACGAATGAATCCCAACTCAGTGGTTCAGAGGTCAAGTGTTCGCTCGTATGACTGAACATTTCGGGGTCTTTTGAATGAGTGCTTTTGAGGAATCCCGCACTTGCACAAAGTAGCCGTTCAGTGCTTCAATGTTTGCAGTGATTGTCTAACTTAGATCGAATTTCAACAATATCACAAATATTTTCTGTTCTTTATTACAAGTAAAATAAACCAAATTTTTTTTTATGACTAAAACTATTTTCTATATTAATAGGTTGAATTTGACAGACGTGATATTAATTCAAACAAATCAAGGTCACAGTTATCTCATACATCAAGAATGTGGCCCGAGAGACGTTTGAAAAGTGGGGTGATTCCAACTTAGTAAGCTTTATTAGTCTTTCATTGTCACTCCATGGTTAATTAATCAGTCGTATGATCAAAAAATTATTGTGTATGATTCTTCTTTCTGTGAAATGTAGTATTTATGTGTGATAGCAATCAACAGACATGTACTATATATATATGCGTATGAATGAACTTTGAGAGTAGTGAGTGAGATAGTTGATCGGAGAACTTTATAATCTTTAATATGAAAACTTAGTCTGTTGCTGGTGAGAGTGAGATGCAAATGTTTATTATCAAGGGATGTGTTTACCATAGATTGGTTCATTCTCATAAATTACACCATTATGGGACTTGGTTATCGTGGCTAATACAATTTGAGAGGATTTCAGTGATTCAATTGTACATTTTAAAACATGTCTTGTCCATATATTGGGATAACTTGATGAGCTAACGCGAAGAAGACATTTCGTAAAATGTTGAAACAGTAATCCCAACGATCTTCCTCCTATATCGTGATAAACAATACTTTCTTCATTCATGGAAGTGTGGAACACTATTGTTTAGATCTTTCAAATTCACTAGTTATTATTCTCTGTTATCAATAGGGAGCCGGTCTGATTAGTTTTTTAGGTTATGAATTTTGGTCAAAACTTCATCATGTCAGATCGTGTTAAACCAAACTATCTATTGTCGAATTGAACATATTTACGCCAATATCTCATTGAAACATTGAACTAGTTAGTCAAGTTTTCATGATGAAAGAGGAAAAGTTCAACACAGTTAGTTATTGTTTAGTGCATAGATTTAATGAATACTTTTTTTACTATCTACATTGAAAAAATACATTCAATATCTTTTTTCACCAATTGAATTTGTTTGCGCTCGATTCTTGTTGTTCTTTAATAACTAACTAAAGCCTAGTGAAAATGAAACAAAAAGAACATGAACGAATTCAAAAAGAATTAGAAAATCAACCTGATCCAGATCAACCACCAGGACATCAACGAATGCCAGAAGAAGAACGTTTAAATACATTAGATTTACTTAATAAAGGTAATCAATTCATAAAGATGCGATTTTCATTCAATTAAATTAATCTTTGTGGTGGTGGTGGTGTTTCGTTTTCTCTGAGCTGGATGTTTTTGTTGTGAAGCTATCATTGTTCTTCTGAACAACAACATCAGCACAAACTTCAGATAGAAGTGAAGCATTCGAATTTCCCAACGTTTGACCTGTAGCTTGTTCTGCTAACCTCGATCTTGATTGGTTGCTGTTGACCTCAAACCTGTCGTTGTTTGCAACTTTGTTTTGATTGCATCCTCCTTTTTAATCTGTTTCTTGATCCTACGTCACCTATGATTTTCCTGATTGGTTGATAAATTTGGTCAATCTTGATGTGTTTGTTGATAGCTGATTGACCTGAGTGCCAAGCTTCTGAAAATTCTCTAGTGTTCTTTGTCCTCCCCCCGACCCAGTATTTCCACATTGTTCCAATCAAATGTGTGTCCTCCACCACCTCAAAATCGTATGAGCGTGACACGCTTCTAGTTGTTAGAAAATAGGAGAATTTCGCCAAAAGGCAGGCTTCCACTCATGGACAACTATATTTTCTCCATGAATGTCTTCGTCAGCATGTTCTGCCAACAAGTGTCAGATACAGGCCAACAATCAACTTCCCAATGGGATGGCGAATAGCGGAACAAAGTGGGAGACATATGTTACAACTAATGATCACCGATGCACACTACAGAATCCACAAATTACAACGCAACATGGATGAACAAAAAAGAAAACTAGAGAGAATACTCACATTAGAACACTTGAAACAACATTGACAACGGCGATCGAGATGTCAAGCAGACGACACAGAGAACAAAGAAGAAGCATCCTCAAAGATAAACTAATCAAGAGTTCAAAGCCATCCACCGAAGAAAATGCAAACTATTGTTGTGTGGTCAGTCAACCTTTCGCAGCAATCAATTTTGTGTTTGTTACTACTGTTTAATTTATTTTGTGCAGTTTTTTTTTCTCTCAAAAATTCAATTAACACCATACCTCCTATTAAGATTCATTTGTGTAAGGAGTGGTGGTACAAACTATGTTAGATGAAATGCTAAATTCGGTTAAATAGTAAGAGATTGTAGTAGTGGTAAACTTTTATGCAGAGAACGCGATTGGTTTAATGGAAACATTCATCATGATAACCAATTGTACCAGTGATCCTTTAACTGCGCTTTTTGTTTAGAACACAATTTTTTACGCGCAAACTTTCTGTTTGTGTTGCTGCCATTCTTTGCTGTAGCTGCTCTTTAATTCGTCCACTTTCCTGGTTTAATTTCGGTGTTTTTTTCGGCACCACAAAATCACCAACAAATATATATATATATATTCTTTACCCTGGATTTGTTTATGTTCTCAGTGAGACGGGTTCTTAATTAGTATTTATTTAGTGGTGATCATAGTCAATCTCGACTTGATCGCTACTAAAATTGATGAACCCCCACGTGATACGAACAAGCCAGCTTTATGATCACCGCTAAAAGATATATTGATTGACTTTCTTTCCTTTCATTCACATTCTGAGTAGTGTTTATAAAATTGATCTTCCTTTTTTTAAAGATATCACCGTTAAGATTCTCGGCAAAATGTGTTTTCTAAGATCGATGACTTAATGGTGAAGCTTTTATTTATCATTCTGAATAACATTATCAGTGTACACTTAGTGTAGTAATGTAGGGGTTAGGTGGTTGGTAAGTGTCGATAATTTAACTAGTTATTTACATTTATTCATGTAAAACTCAATTCGCAATGATTTTAAACAGGATATTTTAGGAAATTTATCATAAAATTCTCTGAATGACAAAATTCAATGAAAGAAGTTGATTAATCTTATAAAATATATTACGAATAGAGAGGAAAGTACTATTATTTAACTAATCAATAATTATATCATGATACAGTTTCACATCAGCATTAACAATCGACAATTATTAAGCTAATGTTTGAATAGATATCCTACATAAATATAGGTAGCTTATCGTGAACATTTATGTATATCATTCGGTAGTCAAATAGGCTTTCTCTTTTACTTTGGCCTTCTCACTCGCCAAAGTAGTCATCAGTTCAGTGTGTAAGGTAGGGGGTGGAGTTAGCACGTATCATCTTCCGATCTTGAACACCGTTCATCCGTAACACAGTTCTCCTGTCAATAAGTTGATAATGTTTCAGTTAAATTCAAAAACATTCTATGCTGATTTAAGACAGTGGTCACATAAATGTTTATTCAATACAACATTTAAAACAGCTACGATTAATAGACTGAATATGTCATACTGAGATAATGAAAGACATCTAGTTGAAATCTTATTGTAAGACAGCGATATTACTTCAACTTTAGTTGTTATTACAATTAATAAAATTTAGACATGCCCAATAGAATTCATTATGTGGGCCTCTTTTGCTGATTTGAAAAGTTAATAAATCAACAATCAGATATCGGTAAAATCAAACTTTTCTGAAATTTATTTTCACTGCTCCAAACATGATCATGGTCGTTACATTGGTGGAAATAAATCTCTTTCAGCAAGTCACACTTATCTGCCGCCACATTTATCAACCTTAGTTCCATAGAATACAAGAAAAGTAAGTAACCACAATCCTAATGGTATTTCAAAATGTATGGTTAATGATCAAATACTTACTTACTTACGCCTGTTATCTCCAATGGAGCATAGGCCGCCCATCAGTTTCCTCCAACCAACTCTGTCCTGGGCTTCCCTCTCCAGTTCTGTCCAATGTTTGTTCATTCCTCTCATATCTTTCTCTATTTCTCGGCGTAATGTGTTCCTCGGCCTTCCTCTTTTCCTTTTACCTTGAGGGTTCCATATGAGAGCTTGTCTTGTGTGATGCAGTTCGGTGCTTTTCGCAGTATGTGTGTCCTATCCAATTCCACCGCTTCTTCCTGATTTCCTCCTCCACTGGAATCTGGTATCTTCTTGCCCACAGTAAGTTGTTGCTGGCCAAGTGTCTGGCCAACAAATCCGAAGTCTAGTTAATTAATGATCAAAAAAATACTAAATATTTCTTAATGAGATAATTAGAAATAAAATGATTAATTTTACTTTAATTTTTTGCTACAGCTCATGCTAAATTATGGGATGAATATTCTCATCTCCCAGTACGTATGGATACATTACGAATTCGTCGTAGACGAGCTGAAATTGAAAGTCGTCTGAAAGAATTAGAAGAAGCTATAGCAACATTTAGTAAACCGAAAGTATTCATTAAAATTGATTGATTTGAAATACTACTTACTATTATAATAACAACAATGTACAAAACAAAATGATCTCAATAATAACTTCAGTGGTATTACTGCACATCACTAGTTTTGTAAACTTTTTCTCTCTAGCACATTGGATTTTCTGGTCATTGTACAATATGTTATATATGTATATTGTATGTGTAAATATGTTTTATTCTTTCAGACAAATTTTCTATTGTAAAACTTATTAACGAAATTAAATTCAACGACGTAAAATGTATCTATCATTTAATTAATTTGAAAATGATTCATTTTCTGAATAGAAAAATATTGTGACAAGTTAAATAAACAATTTAACCGATAAATGTTTTTTTTTCTGCATATATTAGACAGATAATGTTTTATTTTGTAGTGTGTCGGTATTACTGCATGTTCTTAAGCTCGGTAATTAACTCGTTTAAGACAATCCTTGACAAATAGCGTCTGACGGTTTATAAATCAGAAGGTCAACTCGTAGTGTTGAATACGTTTATTTTTGGACACACCACAAAGCGAAGTTGAAAAGCAGCGAATGAAGCAAACGAAACGACGTGAATTGGAGAAGGCTAATGAGCCAACTCTTTGGATTACAATGCGAACGAATGGGCGAAGCGAATCGGAGAAGGCTAATATCCAACTCCAAGAAGTAGAGTATGACTAAGAATATATAGTCAGACAAAAATAAGATAGACATACGACAAGCGAAATAGGCATGCACATACATGAATAAATGCGACGAATGACTGACAAGGTCAAAGGTAAGAGAGACAAGTCATGTGAGTTCATAGGGGTATTAACAGATTAACATTAAAGCGAAAAGGATGAGTCAGCGCGTAGGCTTAAGCAATGCTCAGTCGTACAAGCTCATACAAACCAGACAATAGAAAATACCAATGGTACATATGGGTTGTTGCTATACAAATAGCTGGGTTACATAAGTTAATCGAAAGGCGTAATCAAACTAAATATGAGCGAACTCAAGTTTATGTGGAGGCACTACAATTTTATAAAACCGTTGTAACTCTAACACGTTTGTTATATGCAGTCAGTAAACTGGGGGAGATACTGGGGAGAAGTCTGATGATTACTATATTCTTCTATCTAATGATGAAAATTTGACTGAATTTTCATGTATATTCTGGAAGTAATGAACTCAAACTGCTTTAGTGATGACGATAAAGCCGAACTGATAATGTTTATATTCAGAAGTTTCAGAATCGCATTTAAGGATAACTGTTTACTCCGGTTGACATGGTTACTGAAATTATTGACAGTATGGCTTGGAAATGCATTGCTTAAGATGTCACAAGTTTTAAAGAGGCTTAAGTACAAAAAGGAGCTCGAGATATCTCTGCACCACTTGCGATTGTTCCGCAATCTGAATAAAAACTTGCTTCACCTAGGTTATAAATTATATATATTTGTATGTATATAAAGTAAGGCGCAAATAAGAGCCCAATAGGAATACGAGGGTTTGCAAGTGATGCAGCTCGAGAATGCCTAGTTTTACTATACGCAGTATGGCTTGAGCAACAAGACCGCTGTGCTCTGTGTTACAGCACATTAGGCACTAATCTGATCATGATATTATGGTGATCTGCTTTTGTGCAAAAAAGCTTTACCTCAAGCATCGCTTGCTCATCCTAACCCTTCAGCCACGCTCAGCATGGCGGTTGGTGCATCGGATTTTTCTATATGAGCCTTTATGCAAGAGAACATCTCTGGAAGTTGGAAACCTACGATTTTTCTCACGACGCCTCACCCCACGCAGATAAGATATAGCGATTTTGGTCGAGAACTACTAGCACCCTACTGCGCCACCAAAATTTCCGGCACAAAGTAGGTCGCAACTTCATCTTATTCACCGACCATAAACCTCTAGTATATGCCATAAATACCAAGTCTGACCACTACTCACCACGAGAGTGCAGACATTTAGACTATACCTCTCAGCTCATGACAGACCTTCGTAACATTATAGGCGAGTCGAACTGTGTTGTTGATGCTCTGTCACGTGTCCAAGTGAATGCAGTCACTGTACAGGTTCTTGACCCCCCTGCTATGGCTGCTGCCCAAGCCATGATCCCTCTTGTACAGAAGCGCAACAGTCTATATCCCTTCAGTGCCTGGAATTACCCCTAGCTACCAGCCCAGGTACTAACATGTGTAATACTTCTACTGGTCTTTCTCAACCAATCGTACCCTCTATTTATAGTCTTCTCGTCTTCCAAACCCTTTAAGGACTGTCTCATCCAGGTATCACAGCCACATTACGTCTCATCGCTGCACCATACGTCTGGCCGTCCATGAATAAAGATGTCCGTGTGTGGGTAAAGCAATGCTAACAATGTCAATGATAAAAAAAGCACGGGCACGTAGTCTCCATGCGAACATTGCCTCCGGTGTTAACTCGATTACAGCATCGGCAGGTCACTCTCCCTCTAGAGTGTCTTACCTGTTTAAGTGTTTTCATAAGAGTAGATTCAGTGCGCAAACTCTTGCAACAGCCTTACGTTTCTCGTCATGAAAAGACCTTCAAGGGTGATCAACATGGCCGCGTCGAGATAGTCAGAACCCCAAACCATCATACATCAATGAAAGTGCCTATTTAATAAGTCGAGATTCAATGCTAGACCCATCAAAACTACTTAAGGGATCCCTACATCTACTTCGGAACCTACGCTCGGATCATCAGAGACCTCATTCTCACATGCCATTCAACAGCACGCACCATCTACGGATGAGGTTCCTGTCTCACGTCTAGATCAGCAGGCCACGCCGCCCTTGACTTCGAATGAGACTGAAGTCTCACAAGGTACGCACAAGACTACCGCCTCACGTTCTGAGTACGCTTACCTGTACGGTTTGGCGACTAACCTTTCAATCAACGACGGATACGGTATAGTACTCTATTCCCACACTACATGCATGCTACACCTGTTCCATTTTCGTTGAGTTTTTTATCCTGAGCCCAAGCCTCAGACCATCGCCCTGTGGTACCGTCGACTTTAGTCAATCTTGGCGAAATCTGGCCTGATCATCCACGCTCATGTTAATGCACTCAGTCAATGTTTTGCTCCAGAAAATGTCTGGCATACCTATGGTCTCAAACTTGGTTTTCGGGGTCACTTCTGGTTTTTTGGCTCGGTGTGATTCTGACCTACGACTGAAGCATTTTGTCGTCCGGACCGCTACGAACGGAATCTTCAGACACTGGACATGAGCCACGCTGTTGTGGTACGCTAACTCGCTCGACAAACGCGGCACTATACTCCTGAGGCCGTTATCCATAAAAGAACACCGGTGACAATTCGAGGATCAACGATCACTTCCTGTTCGTCAACCCCTCCGTCTTACAATTGCACGCCTGCTGATCGGTCTCAAGAAAGAGAATTTCACGTACCGTAAGTTTAAACACTGTCTGCTGCTATAGTGATGTCCTATTATGAAGATATCACGATTGGTGTGATAGAAACAGTTAGTATTGTAACCTACTGTACCACTGATTGTTTTAATATACCTTTTTGTTTATCTGTAACAAAATCCCTTCTTCCGTCGCGACCTTCACCTTGCGCACGTAAATATGGTACATTTTTCGATACCACTAGATCGCCAACAAATATATACAGATCAAAATCTCCAGTTATCCTTCTTATTTCCGTTCTAGAGAGGGATGTAACCTGATAGTTGGTACGTAATTGGTCTAGAGTGTTGATCATGTAGTGTGTAGATTCGGGCGTGTTCTTACGTTTCGTAATAAGCTCGTTCAGATTGTCTTATCCCAAATGACGTCTGACGGTTAATAAATCAGAAGATGAACTCCAAGTATCGTATACGTTTATTGTAGCACACCACAATAAGGGTAGCAGAGAAGCGAATTGGAGAAGGCTAAGAGCCAACTCTTTGGATTACAATGCGAGCGAATGAGTGAAGCGAATAGGAGAAGGCTGTTGAGCCAACTAAAAGAGATAGAGCATGACTAAGAATATATAGTCAGACCAAAAATAAGACAGACATATGACAAGCGAAATAGGTATGCACACACATGAATAAAAGCGACGAATGATTGACAAGGTCAAAAGCAAGCGATACAAATCATGTGAGTTCATGGGAATATTACGAGATTAACATTAAAGCGAAAAGTATGAATATGCGCGCAAGTGTAAACAATGTTCAATCGTACCAGCGCATACAAACCACACAATAATAAAAGCCAATGGTACATATAAGTTATTGTTTTACAAATGGCTTGGTTAAATAAATTAATCGAAAGGGCTTAACCAAGTTAGATGTGAGAGAACTGAAATATATGTGGAGGCACTACAATAGCCCCCTTTCAGCAAACAAGGTTACGAAAATGTCTTTGTTTGCGAGAAAAAAAAATCAAAATCGTCGGAAAACATCAAAAGTTATGAAAATTAAAGTTACCGTGTCCGGGTACGTTCGTAAGTTCGCATATTAACAGATCAAAAATATGTGGTAAGCGGTTATTAGCAAAAATAATCGATTTCGAGTAGAATACATTAGGAGCAGTTGTACGATAAAAAAAAATGTAATACAAATGCTGCAAAATATTTAATATCGTTCAGACATGATAGTTAAGACGGAATTCGATAATCGCATAGACATTACGGTAAGGCTTATCGATAAATCGAGTGGCTGCACATAGGTGAAGAAATTGCGGTCGAGATTATCGTGAAAAAATTCGGAGAATAAAGCTGCGTACAGGTGCGATGCATGGACATTAAATGCATATCGAAAACATAAGTTACTACCATCGAGTATATGACTCCAAACTTATGTGTATGATAGCGTTGCAAACCGTTGCCAGCGTTGGGGTAGTCGAAAAACATGCCAATATCAGCGTGCAGGAGGTTCGCTCGACTGCTTGAACTGCTGCTTCGTGTGCATGTGCGTAAGATCATACCACCAATTTACTTAGCAGGCTGCAAGATTTTCGAGTACGAGCAGCTGATGAGTACATAGAAGATATATCCAATCCGATAATCGTATAGCCAAGGAAATATTAAAGGACCATAATTGTTGTTGAGCCGTTGCTTTGATATGCGATTCGAAACATAATAATGCGATACGGCAAAATAAATGGAACGAACTCACCTTAATCATGAACGTCGTTCGTGGTATCGAAAGAAGTAAA